TACACCTATTCAAAGGGATGATTATTAGAGAGAGATAATAGCTGTCATGTCTAGTAGATATTACATGAAGAATAAAATTTTTTTTAATTTTCAAAATTGTTAATGTTATTGCGGTTTTTCACCCCTTATAAAGGGGTAGTTTTTGCAAATTTTGGAAAAATAAAAAATTATTACTTTTTTTATTTTTTATGACGAGTATGCAGCAGATACCTTTAAAATATTTTTACGTTTTTTTTTAAGGATTCTGTAAAATACTTCTCTTCTCTAATAAATTATATATAAAATAGTGGTTATATAAGTAATCCATCATGTGCTCTGGAAATCAGTTATCGAAAGATAGTTAAAAGGCAAAGACAACGAAAAATTCTGTTTTTAAAGAGTCTTTGCCTAAACATGATTGTAAACACCACTCAATCAAAAAGAAGAAGAAACGCTAAAACCGTGAAAAATTAAGATACATATTCGCATCTTGCCGTAATTTTGAAAATGGAAGAATTACTTAGTATACAAACAGCGATGATCTTCTATGAGTCTGTAGCTCAATATAAAATTTATACATACCAGCCTTACACCTCAAAACTTTCATAATAGCGATGAAATCAGAACATCAATCCAATATCAAGATTTATATTTCTTACTATCAAAAAGTTCTCTATATATTGTAGGAAAATTTCGAAAAGACGATGGTACTGCTGTAACTAGTAGAAAGTTTATAAATAATATTAAATGTTATTCGTTTAAAGATATTTATTATGAAATTAATTAATTAAGATAGATAGGCGTAAACATGTTGGAATAACAAATACTAGAAAAGGTTTGATTCAATCAGAATCAGAGTAGGTTTCTTGAAAATGTTGAATGGCTTGATATTACAAAAACTTGAAATATAACAGATTAAAATAACAACTTTGATATATCATTACCACACTCAACAATTTTAAGTTTTGTTGAAGATAATCAAAAATTTCTCGTGATCATAAAACATGAATTTATTTTAACTCGATCGAAAAATAATTTCAATACAAGTTTATAATCCCTAGTTAGAGTTAATAATAAAGATAAATATGAGTCTCTTGAATAAGAACTTATACGAATTGAGTAGTTGATGCCTTACGTAATTATGTTAAACAGATATAAGGTATAGTTAATCGATTTTATTAAAAAGATGTACATATTTTCGTGGGTTTTCGATCATGGTAGATTTATAAGTATCGAAAATTATCGCAAACATATTAGGATGGTAAAACTATCAAATCAATTAGAAAATCCGAGGTTTATCATACTAGATTTTCAGACTAAACGCAAGTCTGAAGAAACGGAAAATCCTAGCAATTACGATCATTGTAATGTGACCAATGTTAGAGTTTTTCTCAATTCTAAGCAATATCCATATGGTAATTTAAATTTTGACATTGATAATAACCACAAAGTCTTACCAAATGTATTTACAACTATAATACGTCTACTATAACAAAGATTGTATGTTCAAGACACTTTCAGATAGAAAACAATTTAAAACTCAACCCATGCACTTCAATCTTTATACAGTGTTCAAAGCAAAACGAGATACTGAAACAAGCTCCAGCTGATATATCTCTAGAGCTTGAAACGAAAGATAATATACCATAGGCAAGCTGTATATTGTCTGATTTTACATAATTATAGAATTAAGTACAATCCTATTAGTGATAATGTTTTAAAAATTGAATGTTGAAGGTAAATATGTTAAATATGTTAAAATCTTTTCTTCATCTTGAAAACATCATTATTTCGGCTTTCTCAAACTATAAATAGAACCTGCTTAGCTTATTGTAATCATTTTTCATCAGCATGAAGAAGAGTAATAGTGTTCCATATATTCGTCTTTCACAAACCATGAAAACCAATAGCAACGATAAAAAAGTAAATCATCGCAGTGGAAATTTTACACTGAAAAGTATTTAAGCAGCACCAAACCTATACTAAATCAGGTTATAATAAATTTTAAATAAATTCACATACAATATTGTATAGACGAATCACCTATGAATAAATAATTTTTTTTAATTACGTCAATAATGTTTTAATACACCGCACATTTTGTTATCAACATTCATTTATGGAACTAATCGGGGATATAGAAGGGAAGATAGAACTGGTCGGTAAGCGAACACCGGATCAATAACTATGTCGGTAAGCAGATCCATTACGTTGCTAAGCAAGTAGACTAATAACTCTATCAGTAAATAGAACACAACCCCTATCAAGTCGGTAAACAAACACCTTTAACACATCGATAACTTAGTCGGGAATATACCAGCATATCATGCCCGTAATATTACCATTGATACTGATTCAGATGGTAAATTACTTGATCGGTAAATTGTACCAGAATTCTCATAGCCTATTCTACTATTGCTTACATCGGTGATGGCATTTCGAATAATTCGTTTGCCATTTTTCAAAAGAAACCTTACGATTTCTCCGTCATCAAGAGTGATTTTATTGTGTACATGTAAAAACGAATGAGTACACCTCTTTATAATTTGAAAATTTTGGCTGCAAAGGAAAACTCGTTAATTGACTCTTGAAGAAGCTATTATTGGTATATGAAAAAAGCGATCATTAATGTATGAAAATTAGCTTACTGGTATCACAGACGGTTGGTCAATAGGGAGGTAACTGGTACAGCTATGCCACTACGATATGATATATATATATATAGCAAGTGCGCTTGACGAATATGTGTTCAGCGAGCTGGAAAAGAAGTACAGGAGGCAAATCGCAGTTCATAGTAGGTATGCACTCAATTTGGGCACTGGCTACGTCTTTTATAGCACGGCTATAACCGACGTCATGCGCGACTGTTCGTTATACCATGAAACGATGATATTAATAAAATGATAGGAATAAATAAATTAGATTTATATTCAAATTATAATTTATTATCTATCTAATAAAAATGCAAATACTAATGCAAATCTCGATAGGCACACAATAATATTTCAAATTGCGAGTAGGTTAGGCTACAGTGTAGCGTCTAACCTGTAATTTACCCGGTCAAGCGGTCGGTTGTTTTCGAGAGGTAGTCCGTTGCGACCGCACCGTATTGCCGGCTACTCAAGCCAGAATAACGATCGGGGCGTGCGACATGGCACCTCTATTTTATATATGCGCGCGATTAGTGTACGAGGTCTATCCGGAAAGTATCGGGCCTACCTTTATATTTTCATGCTAGCGTTATTCTTTATCATCTGGTGGGTGGCATCCTTCAAAGTAATCCCCACTTGATTGAATAACACGGTTCAATCGATGTTTCCACTTTTCAAAACAGTCCTGGAACTCACTTTTAGGGATAGCCTTAAGTACACTCGTCGCATTGTTTTCAACCGTTGTTTTGTCATCGAATCGGTGTCCTTTGAGTGGTTTTTTTAGTTTTGGAAACAGCCAAAAGTCACAAGGGGCTATGTCGGGACTGTATGGAGGTTGTCGAAGCAATGCGATATTGTGTTTGCTCAAAAATTGCTGCACAAGATTGGATGAATGCGCTGGCGCATTATCGTGATGGAGAAGCCAGTCACCACTTTCCCAAAAGTGCGGCCGTTTTCTTCTTACTGCATCACGCAAACGTTTCAAAATTTGAACGTAATATTCTTTGTTGATTGTTTGACCTGTTGGTGCATATTTGTGATGTACAACACCTTCACAATCGAAAAAAACAATCAACATTGACTTAACATTGCTCCGACTTTGACGTGCTTTTTTTGGTCTTGGCGATTCAGAATGCTTCCAGTGTGAAGATTGTTGTTTTGTTTCAGGATCATAACCATAAAACCATGATTCATCACCTGTAATAACTTTTCTAAGCACATTATCATCATTATTGACCATTTCCAGATTGTCCAGAGCTTTCTAAGCGAATGTTCTTCTGCTCTGCTGTGAGCTATTTTGAGATGAATTTCGCACACACGCGTTTCATTCCTAAATTTTCGGTTAAAATTTCTGAAATGATAGTTTTTGGTATCCCAAGGTCTTCTTCTAGTTCTCGCACAGTCATACGACGATCTTGTTCGATTGCAAGTCGCACCCGCTCAGTATTATCTGCGGTTTTTGTCGTCGAAAGAGAATCACTATCGACAGAAGTGCGACCATCCTTGAACCGTTTATATCACTCTTTTATTCCTGTTTTCCTCATACACTCGCTTCCGAAGGTCTTTTACACCATTTCAATAGTTTCCGAACTCGTTTTTCCGAGTTGAAAGCAAAATTTGATGCAAATTCGTTGGTCTTGTTTTTCAGTCATTTTTGACAATATCAAAATCCGACGAACGCGAAAAAGGCACTGTAAACAAAGACATGCTGCGCATGAACTATTAGGCTTTACTGTTGACGTTTCTGTCCGGTAGAGGTTGCTCAAACACTATGGCGCGAAGATATAAACGTAGGCCCGATACTTTCCGGACAGACCTCGTATATAGTTTAGGTAAATAAATTGTGTTCTCTTTTAAGTAAAGTGCAGTTTTATGTGTATATTTTATTTGGCACTTTCTTTACCTTTAATATCATTTCATGTTTTTAAGTCCAACGTCTAGCAGAATCTTCACAACTAGAGTACTTTTGAACACTCTGAGCCACCCATAAATAAATATTGCTAACAGCAAACGGGAAAATTGAATTAGTCACGGCTCTTAATCAGCTTTCTAGTTACAAATTTTTTGTTTGATGAAAGTTTGTTTCAATTTTTTATGACCTTTTTAGAAATTTAGGTAGGAACGAAAAAAAATATTTAATAAAAACAAAATTCACCTATTCGAAATATAATTTTCTTTTCATTTGTTTTAATTTGTAAAGTCCATATATAAGAACAATAAGAAATTTAAATTACTCAAATGATGATCGAGCACGAGAATGAATTTAGGGAAAGTATTTGTAAGAATCTCCAATTTGCATAGACTATTTATTAATTTAGTAAATTTTCAATTCAGTATATGTTATTTCTATTAATATATTATCTGTTTCAGCTGCTGATAAAGTGATTAAAATCTGGGGATCTTATGATGGCAAATTTGAAAAAACTATTGCTGGTCATAAACTTGGAATATCAGATGTTGCTTGGTCGAGTGACAGTAGACTTTTAGTATCTGCATCAGATGATAAAACATTAAAAATTTTGGAATTAAGTTCGGTAAAGAAACAAATTTTTATTCATACACACATACACAAACATAGATTAATTCACTATCAAAATTTTTTATTGATTTTCAATAATCGTAATTATAAATATTTTCTATGTTGGTAATATTTTCGATATTTTTTAATATGCAATTTGTAAGACTTTATTTCAATACAAAGGAATGACTAGCATAATTAAAAACATAATCCTCCTAGTGATTAATGATTGAAAATTGTCGACAATTTGGAGTCTACCAATGGTGATAAATATATTATACCAATAAATGAATGTCACTTCAATGTTTCGCTGAACTAATTGTCTGTATTTTTAGCGAAAGAAGTTAATATAAATACATATAAATATAAATAATTTTTATAATTTTTTTATAATATAAACTACATTATCAAAATTTTATTATGAAGATGTAGTTTATACTTGTAGCGAACTGGAACGTTTTATTATTGAGTTGATAAAGAATATTCTACGCCCCGACGCGAGGCAACCGCCGCTTCGATTACTGTTGACTGCAGTTACACTGCACTCTTGCAGAGTTCGCGACAAAGCGCTGCCAAGCGCGAGGACTAGATTCAGGCAAGGAAAACTAAATAAGCTTTGAATACTGTTATTTGTAATTAGAATGCACACACATAGCATGAATTTATTGACCCCAATAATCTACATGTCCCTGTGTATAATTAAGCTGAGAGATTTTCTGGTGCACTTATTTCATAACACTTCCGCGTCACACGATTCAACGGAAATTCGAACGAGAGCATAAATTTTTTCTCGTGGATTACATTTCACGCTTCGTCCACAAATCAAATTCCAGCTTACTTGGTGTTTGCGACGTGATGCTGTAGCCAGCAACGTCAAAAGGGCTTCGCGCTGACACTCAACTGTTGCACCTCACCGGGATCCCTTGATGCGGGCGATACGCTGCTACAGTACCGCCCTTGCTACGCCTTCGCGTTCCGCACGGTTGATGGGCAGCTATCCTGAGCCTATACTCGCCCACAAAAATGATGGAAACGGTGTCGGCGGTAACAGCTATTCCACTTAGCAATTGGTCAGTTTTCACAAAATCAAAAAAATCAGAAAAATTTCTCATATATTCCTTAGACAATTATAAGAATATTTTATTTTCAGTAATTTTTCTTGTATGTACATTGCTGCCAAGAAAAAAAAACAAATATCAAAGTAGTATTGTCTATCACAATTTTTTCTTCAAAAACTATACGGTGATAGCAAAATTATCTAGGAATAAAATATCGTTATTACTATGTGACGGGGCCCTGGCTAGAATAGCCGACCCTGTCTGGCTCGCTCTCTCTCTCTCTCTCTCGCAGCCTCGCTCCTTCGCTCCTTCGCTGTTGCTCTGGCGAGCGTTTGAAATTACGAACCGATACCGATGCTCGCACCGCTTTATTTCAGGACCAATACCTGAGCCGGGCATCGTCATTAGGAGCCAATTGAGAGCGAGAGCGACTGCGGCAAGAAGAAGAGAGAGAGAAGGACGCGTCGCGAGTAGAGAGTAAGCGAGCGCGAGTGACCCGCGGCGATCCGCCCGCGAGAGTGAAGCCGCCGGCGTCGCTCGAGCCGACGCGCGAACGATTAGAGAAAAGAGTTCGAGTCGAGATTCAAAGTTAGACGGATCATTTGACGGTCGAGCGTGCGCACGTGAAAGAAAACAACTCAGACAAAGAAGCAGAGGACGATTAGCAGTTAGCAGTAAGGAGAGAAGACTTCCAACGACGATAGCATCGAGGAATCCACCTCCGAGCCTGCCACGAGCCTGCCTGCAGTCCAGCAGTATTTCCTGCCTGCGGTGGAATTACCAGCAACTACTAGCAACAGTTCCTGCCAGCAACTACCAGCAACAGTTCCTGCCAGCAACTACCAGCAACAGTTTCTGCAGCGGCATCAGCGGCGATTCCTGCCAGCAGCCCCCCCAGGTCAGGTCGTGTCTCTCTCTCTCTCTCTCTATCTCCCTATCTCTTTCTCTCTACATTCGCGAGTGCGCGACGCGTCGGCGAAGTAATCGCGATCTTCCGTGAGCACGGCGAATTCCATAATTGTAACGAGTCCCTGCTTTGTATTCTCTCAAATCATTGTAATGTGCCCCCGTGCGATTGTCCGCACAGGTACGCGGCGTTGAGAACGACGCGTGAATTCGCGTCGTCTCTCTTTATTGTTAAGTCGAGAATAAATATTGTTAACGGTTATCGCGAGTGATTATTGTGTGCGCCTTACATTCCTTTCCTCTCAAGCCAAAGCTCAAAATGCTAATTTAGTGACGAGGCCCATCGTCATCGTTCAGAGGAGCGAAAGAGCCTCCCTTACCTTCCCCTTTAAAAATAATTTGTGATACGACGCTTGGGCACGGGCCTTTGCATTGCTCGTGGGAATTACCATTCCCCATAACGCTATAGATTTTTAATCAGTGTCACAACTATTTAAAGAATATATGAGAATTTTTTCGGATCTTTTTAGCAAATTTTGAATTTTGAAAAAACTTACCAATTGCATAAATAAAAAAATTTCTTATAATCCTTCGACAAAATTCCAGTGTATTTTTTACATAAATCTAAAAAATTATACGTTCGAGGCCCCATTTTGGATACTCTCAGGTTAAAAATCGATCCAGAAAATAGATTCAAGAATGGACCATGTCCTTGGATAATCAAAATATACAAAACCATCTACAATACCTAGAGCTGTGTATCGATGGTCACAAGCTCTGACGAGCTTCATGCTTCCACAACTGGCTATTGAATAACTACATAGCTAGAGACTTCGAACCCATCACACAAAGCGAAAATGCAACAGTAGGAAGAGCATCACGGAGATCAGTGCTAATAGCATCAATTTCAGAAATTTCAGTGAACGAAAAATTAAAGGAGCATTCGTTACAGCTATTACTGGACGACGCGGAAGTATTAAAAGTTAATCAGTAATCCAACAGAAGTAATAACAGCAGCAATGCGAGCGACAACATCACAGTAATAATCAAAAAAAGAGACAAATTTCAACTGCCAGTACTATTCGCTATCATAATACATGACCTGATCTTTCGCAGGTGCGAATACAAGAAGTTACGACAACTATTCACATAAATAAATGGAAATATAGCAGAAATAACGCAATTAACATCAACATTCTGCACTACAACAGACATAATGAATAATAAACTAGATAACTTAGACAATAGATTGAAAACGGCCGAAGACGAAATAGACAAACGATCCCTCGAATCCGACATACGATACGTAGACCAAACAAATTCCACACGGTGGTAGGTGATATTCTACCATAAGTCATCTGCCAGTACGACATGCGATTGCTACAAAACACGCTAGCCGTACCACATCGATTACCCGCGAAGACGACCACACGAGACGCATCCATACTTCCGTCTTTTCAAGGGGACAAGCGAGCCGACAGCAAATGTCTTCCGACTTAATGCTGAAGCTGCGACACAGACCAGAGCACATTGAGACTTGTCTGACCAGAACACTGTGGGCCAATGATCGACAAAGTACGACATAGGCCATATTGTAATGGAATGAAAATTAAAGTTCTCCATCGAAGGTTACGTCAGCGTGGACACGTTCCTATCTCGCCTAGATAACCTGCGAAAAAGCGCCAATCTATCCAAAAAGGAGATGCTGTTGTCTATGTCCCAGGTACTGACCAGTTCTGCTCTCATGTGTTTCGAAGCCGAAAAAGATATCTGGCTGACTCTTAACGAATTTATGGCGGACGCGTGTAAATGGTTTGGCATGTGCCTTCAACAACAGCAAAAGTTAGCACGAGAAATCCGAGATCGATTCCAAGAACCGAATGAGTCTGTTAACATGTTAGGACTGTTGAAGTAACTCCACTCACAGATGTTGCGAAATGACTCCACCCACCAACTTTGTTGTAAATTTCTGGGTCAAACAACTTTTCCGATTTTTCTAAAAATTTCAGATATACGTTGTCCTCAAATATTTCGCCGTGATAGTTTTAGGAAATTACATTCAATGTTTTGGGTCAAATAAGTGATTTTTCACGTCTTAATAAAGAATCTAATCCATTCCAGAAATTTTGATTTACGTATTCTTTTGATTCTTTTTTATATACTGTGATGGAGCATTTTTCTATGGCCTCCATGAGCATTATATTAAGCTATTTAATACATTTTTTAATGTTCTTTACTTTTTTAAGAGAATTTTTACAAGTAATACGTTTCGCATTAATGAGTATTCATGCCCATTCTTTTTCGTATATTTGCTTACCTTTTTAGAAATTTTTAAATGCAGAGTGATTAGTACCGGTGAATGATCAGACGTTAGATCTAAGCATGACGATGCCTTAAAGTATTTTTATCTATGTCTTTGGCTAAATTAATTAAATTAGGTAGTTTGCATTTTCCTGTTGACCAGTGGGTTGGTTACAACGTTGAAATTAGGATGCAGTTATTCTTTTGCATCGCTTCATATAGTTTTTACTTTTTTGCGTTAGAGCTTGTGATCCCATCATAAATGTTTTGCACACGGTGTGTTTTAAAAAATTTAAATCGGATTGAAAACCACTCTGGATTTTCGTGTTGAATACGATAGTAGGAACTTTCAGAAAAACGTTTCCACGCGAAATCGAAATCTAGGACTTGACCTTTTTTTTTACACATTTAACTGTTTTTTCATCGTTATATAGTATCTACACATATAGTGACGTTTGATAATTAAATAAAGAGGTAATGGAGGTTTATAAATAAATCATATAATAAATTATAATCTAAAATTAATTTGTTAACACTTTCTACAAATAAATAAAATAAATTTTACTCATTTATTTACAATAAATTAACAAGAATAATATGGAAAATTTTTCGAAATAAATTATACAATCAATTGTATAATTATAAACGGATTGTAAACGATAATAAACATATATTATTCACGCTTTTTAAATAAATAATAGTAACGAAAAACTGTAGCAAGTTACTCAGGATAGCTTATAAATGACTACTA